GATTTAAATGGAATTGAACTTTTTGACGAGTTAAAAATATTTTGTAGAATTTTGAACAAACCAAAGACATCTATTGAGTGTCTTAATTTAATAGAATCAACATGTGGTTCATTTCCGAACATAGYTATTGCATTAAGAATATTATTAACTCTTCCAATAACTACTGCAAGTGCTGAGAGAAGCTTCTCAAARTTAAAAATCATAAAGAACTATTTGAGAACAGCAATGTTGCAAGATCGACTTTCTGATTTAGCGATKATTTCAATAGAACGAGATTTATGTGAAAATATAGACTATAACGATATTATTGAAAAGTTCGCAGAAATAAAAGCTAGAAAAATTAATTTTTAATTGTGAAACGATTTTTTATTGTATTTTAAGTATTTTTATTTATCTGTTTATTTGTATTTTATTACATTAAAGCAAATTTGTATGAATATCAAGAGTTAATGATTTATAGATGATTAAATTAAAAAAAACATGTATTTAATTCGGTACTGGTCTAGTTGACCCCCGCCAGGAAGGCAATTTCCCCGCCACTCAAGTTTAGTGACGCCCGCCACTTACATTTTGTATTTTCGATAACTAATAATTTATATAAAAATGTACGATTAATAATACATTATACATTTATTCCGCCACATAAATTCTGACAAATAAGAATCTAAGAAGTTTCTCTTAGTCCCTCTACGTTTCTTGTTGCCCCATTTAGCACTTCCCCACATCCTCTCAACATTTTATCACACGGATTTTACCAAATATAATTCTTAAAATATCTAATTAGAGAATTTCACACAAATACCTAACGTATATGATTTAATTCTATTGGGCAATTATTTTATTTTATTTATAATATTTTATAAAAAAAAACTCTTATTTTAAATTTTAATTAATGAGCTTCGCAGGATAAAAAATATTAATGTATTTACTATTTATATGGTTATAGGTACCTATATACTCGTATAGTAGCTAAACAGTGTTACAAAAATTTTCGCCCTGGGCCTCGCAAATCCTAAGGACGGCCCTGGGTATAGTTATATAATATAAGTTATAATATACCTACCTATGTATTAATACTTAATAGAGTTCTTAACTTTGCAGTAAGTAAAATGCTGCATTTTTTGTTCATTGACATTATTAAAATCATTAATTGTCTCAGAAGTATGGGGAGAATTGGCGTTTGTCATCGGTGATGGATATTAATAAAATAAATCCATACATCATAGATGTATACTGGCTATGGATAAATCTAAATACATTATTTTTTAGAACTCTTTGTGAAACTTATATCAATTCCAAATCTGTAATATTTCATCCAAATGTAAATCTCTACGAATTATTTAACTTAATTAATAATTTAGTATATTATTAAATATGTATTTAAAAGAATATGATGGAAAATTATGTTTGTATCTCAGAAACTTTTTCAACATGCGACTCCTTTGTGTGTTAACGATATTTTAACGTTAAAAATATTATTTCAAATTATTATAAAAAAAGGCGGGTAATTCGTGGATTTCGCTCTGCTGTACAGTAGGTTACAAGTGGGTTACTGTAATGGATGCAATTAAACTTGAGTCCAATGATTTATAATTATATCATTGTATACGAAAAACGATTCTGAGCGAAGACGGTTCATCTGTCTAGGATATATTATAGATTATTAAAAATTTTCAAATCTTAGATTTAAAAAGAAAATTTTTTATGAAT